ATCTGCATAACTTCTGCATCTGCATAACTTCTGCGTCTGCATTTCTTTCAGAACTTAGATTAGTGGGGTTCTTTTAATAAGATATGAACCTATTTCTCATAGGGTCTGAAGTTCTTTGAAGACTTAAAATAGAGTCTGAATGACTTTTATGGTAAAGTCTGAACTTCTTATTCTGAATCTGAACTTTAGTTCTGAGAACTTATAAAGTCTGATATTTCCTTCTGAACTTTCATAATATATTAACCTGGAATGGAATGCATATCAGATTCATAAGATAAACATATAAAGTTTTGTCAGCTTCAAAATTAATTAAGCGTTTTCCTCAACAATCTTCCCATTTTTTATGGTGACAAAACTTCCATGCAGATTCAATCAATGTCGAATAAATTTGAAGAAAATAACCATATTAAGCGCATGAAACACAGATAAAAAAAATGTGCAAACTCTTAAGATTTGTGTATTTCTCTTCCTTTGAATATAACCTGCATATTGGAATGTTAGTACGGCAATATTTGCATAATCTCTCCCCCCTTTTGTCATCAGTAAAAAGAATAAAACAATAAGAAGCCGAATAAAGCACCGATATAAACCATCCAAACAGTCTAACAAAGGAAAATGTTAAAAAATTACAGAACCAGTTTGGAAATAAGAATGGTTTAAAAAGAGGGTATGAAACAAGCTATTTCTTGGATGGGGTTCGAACAAGCTGAAAGTTCTCTAGGATAGAAACAGCTTCCTCAATCTTTGTAGAACAATGACCCATAGCTTTCTCCATATTTGTTGAACATAGAGCAATAGCTTCCCCAATCTTTGCTTTGTCTTTTTCTGCCCGAAGACGTTGAGCCTGATTGTTTTCCTCAACAATTTTCCGAAGATTCTTCACGTCCTCTTCAAGTGCAGCTTGTTTCTCTTTTATTTCTAGCAGAAGGGTCAGAATGGTCATATTGTCTGAGGTTTGTCCCTGAACATTATCCGGTGCATTCTGTTCGAACTCATCCCCTGTCTTTGTTGGAATCTCCCCATGAAAATCTACCTGTACTACAATAGTATTTTCATTCAAAATCTCTTCAGGATTAAGTGGAGATTTTCTTACATCTGTCCTCTGTGGAACATCATCTTGTTGTTGCAAATGTGAGTCCCCAGATACTGGTTCTGAAACCTTCTCAGCAGGTGCTGAAACATGTTCTGGACCAACATTCTGTCCTGTTTCAAGGTGTTCTGTTCATCATTTTCATCTCTGACAAGAATTTTTCTCTTCTTGCTGTACACCCTTAATGGACTTGAAGACAGTCTGCTTTCTTACTTTTTCTTTTCCTACTCTTTTTCCTTCTTCTTTGTCTTGGTCAGTTTTCCTGCCAACAGATTTTGCTTCTGACTGCTGAACACCCTTTCCTTTGTCTGTACTTGCTCTTTCCTTTCTATCATCAAATTGCTTAAGATTCATCTTGGTAAGCATCTTTTCTCCAACAAACATCAAAGGAACAGAGGTTTTGCACAAATCATCAGGAATAGTAATGTTTAAAAAGGTAAAGATTATAGTAATGAATGCACCATAAGGAAGTTGTCCCTTGTCCTTCTGGAGAGTTCTGTACATGTGAAAAATGATGATGTGAGGAAGAGAGAAAAGCTTTCCATTCAGAATAACCCAGATAAGCTTGATTTCAGACTTAGACAAGTCAGTCTTGGAAGCAGTTTTAGGTTTTAAGCAATGGATAATAATCTTATGCAAGATCACGGTCCTTCTAGTCATATTAGAATATGAGATATGGCGTTTAGAGCCTCTAGCAAAATTTTGATTTTCTGAAGCTGCTTTGGAAACATCTTCTAAGCTCACTTCAAATGGAATGAACTTGTAATTTTTCACTCCCATAATTAGAGCCAGATCTTCCACTTTCAGATCATACTTTTTTATCACCAACAGTAAATTGAAGCCAATTTGTGGACAGAATGGATAGATTTGAGTAAAAGTAAGCAGTCAATTTTGCATATACATGTGCAGATTGCAGACAGAATTCATAAATGTCCAATTTTTCAAAAAGATGTTTCACAGAAATGCCAGCTTTATCCAGATAATCGAAATCCACACTACGATGATTCATAATCCCTCTAGCAAGTAACAACTGATAATATATATTGTGCTATGTATTTCTGAATAAACTGCCATTACCTTGTACACCAGATACAATTCTAACCTTAATCTCAAAGTTATGAAATAGTCTAGCATCATCATCAAGAATCGTAAATTTAGACCCACTTGTAGATTTAGGCCTTATACGAACAGATTTCGTTTCAGAGGGAGTTGATGGTTTCCCTTCTTTCTCTTTTCCCTTCCTGGAAATAGTCTCCTTTTGAGTAGTACTAGCCTGATCATGACCAGTTCTTGAGGAAAATTTAGAATAACTTCGCACAAGACTTTCTTCAGTGTGAAAGTCGTTGTCTTTCAGATACTGACAAAGAACCGATACAAAAGCATTGCTGTGTTTCAACCTTTCGTATGCTTTCCACACAAGAATATATTAACCTGGAATGGAATGTATGTACACAATTGTCACTGTTCACACATCACATGTGGATTGGCCGATTTCTCATAGTTGGTGCTCCCTCGTCCTTCGAGAATTAGAAAGATCCTTTTCAAGTACTTGACTGACCGCCTTCATACTATATTATGTCCCAAAAAAAATGATTTTTATCGACTGTAGCAAGGAAAGGAAAGGCCGGGGACTGCACATCCTTTTTCCGCAATTTAAATTCGGGTGTTGCCTGATCAAGAAAAAACTCGAAATCTCATACAATGGGCTCCATTTCCCGAATTTTACTCTCAGCAACTCCCTAGTTTTTTCGCTCTTTGATTTTCACGTTTCAGTTTGGCTGGTGAACTTGCGAGTTACAGTCTCCTTTAGTAGAGTAATTCTTTTGCCTGATGAACTTGCAAGTTACAGTCTCCTTTAGTAGAGTAATCTCCGGAGATGATGATTTACCTCCTGGATTGCATAAGCCGCAACAACAACTACTATCTCGCGATCTCCCTTGAAGGCTTATGTCTTAGTCTTGAGGCTCGATCGGTTCGCTATGGCGTGCAAACGATGCCACATCAACTTCCGCGACACGAGATGCTTTTTCGAAAAGCCCCCTCTTGTCCCGGGTCTCGTGACGGAACCCAAACGGTCCCCCTTGCTGTAACCGCTACATAACCCTTAATTGTTTTCGTATCATCAATTTTGCTTGGAGACTTGCGGACTTTAATCTACGTAGCTTGTAAAGATTTTAAAGTTACCGACTCTTTCATCGGACATCGGGTCGTCAATGTTAATTTGAGTTGTTAACATCCACTTGTTCTTTTCTTTCGATTCACCCTTTTTTGCAATTCACTTACCAATTTTCAATTGCGTAATTTACCTATGTTTTCAAATTTACCATATCTTAAATGGGAAATCATTAACATTAATTTGAGTGAATTATCAGTTTTTCTATTTATATATTATTTATTTATTTATTTTTAAAAATTAATAAAATGTGAACAAAGAAACGAGAAAAAAGGGGGCCTTTGTAAGTCGCATAAGAAAGGAGAGCTCGGGAAAAGGAAAAACAAATAAACAGACTGCATGTTGAAGTCCATTGATTGGTCAGAGGCAAAACGAGCGCTGGTGGTTTAGGATGCGCATGAATACCATTCTGTGTTCGGGAACTATTTCTGAACAGAAATGATTTTTTTTTATTCTGTGCCCGGAAACAATTTCTGAGCATTTGAAGGCGTTTGATAAACTGTCCAAAATTTCTATTCCTAGAGTAGAAAAGAACAGAAATGCGTTTGGTAACTACACAAAATTTCTTTTTATTAATAATATTTTGAATTGTTTAATTTTTTTTTTCTTTCTACCCATTTTCTTCTTTGGCCATGGCCGGTCGCGTGACAGGCCGCCCATGCAGCTTCTGAGCGGGTCCCCCTTCTTGGCAAGGGCGAGAGGCTGGACCCTCGCCGCCTAGACGATGCGGCTCGGCGTCGCCGGTCATGTGGCGAGTTCGGCCTCACCCGGATCGGGCGAGCGCGCGACCCACGGCGAGGCTCGGCCTCGCCGAGGATCCGGGCGAGGCCGACCTCGCCATGACCGACGGCGAGCCGCGCTCTCCCGGGCGGCGAGGTCCGGCCCTCGCCCTCGCCGGCAAGGGGACCTCGCCTCCGCGGTGGTCGGCGAGGGCCGTGACGCCTCGCCGACCCTGGGCTGTGGCCGGTCGCCGGCCGCCGGCGATCGGCCACAACCCAGGAAAGAGCCGCCGGCGACCGACCACAACCCAGGAAAGAGCAACACAAAGAAGAAAAGAAAAAAAAGAAGAAGAAGAAAAAAAACTGATTCTCAAAATTGTGCGAGAAACAAAAGCAACTTTTTTTTCTTGTTTCTCTTCCAAAATCATTTACTGGCACAAATTTTTGCAAAAATGTGCTTAGGGAATAAAAAGTTTACCAAACGCATTTTTGTTTCTAAACTATTTCTGAGAACAAAAGAACAGAAATTTTCACTGTTTGGCACGTTATCAAAGCCTTATTGTGATTTTCCTTTTCACCGCTCAGTGGACTTTTGCCGAAGGAGAGCGCGCCCACTTTTGAAGGCTTCACCACCACGCCATCATCCATCATACAGAGAAGATGGTCGTGGGAGGTGTGAACCGCAATAGGGAGAGGTGATTTCTCCGGAGGTTGACGAAGGACACGCTCAAAAGTCTTTTATCTCTCGGTTGCCGCTCCTTCATCTAGAAAACTCGCAGATTTCAACGGACCGGTTTTATTGGACCGGACCGAACCGAACCAAAACTGATGATCCGGTCCCCAGTTCCCAAGATTGGGAATCGGTCCTCCCAATCTGATTTCCAATTCTACCTTGAAACCGGACTAGACCGAAAACCGATTACCTTTACACATCATCGTACATTGGACAAAAAATTCATGGGCCGTTCGTTCGTGTGCTGGACGCCCCTTTATTCGATGCGTAGCACCACCGCAAGCGACAGCATCAAGCATGGCATCGATTCGTCATCATCGGCTCGACCAAGAGTCCCGTCTCCTTCCTCGCATCTTCTTCGTGCCCAGAATTCAACCCCCACGGAGGAACCCCGTTCGAAGCTCGCCCAAGACGACCCCACCCGCCAAGCAGAAACCGACAAATCACGCGTCGCCATCGCCACCTCTCTCGCTCCCTCCCTCGCCGGCCATTATCAACCCCCCCGAAGCTCCAACCATGTCGTCCTCCTCCTCCTCCGCCGCCGCCGCTGCACCGCTCGATAGCGGCCTCCTCCGATGATGCCGGACTCTCTCTCCTCGCTCTCGCTCTCGCGCCTCCTCCTCCTCCTCCTGACGACCGCCTCCACCTTCGCTACTGCTGCTTCCCCTCCGCGCGCGTGCGAAATGTCCACGGTTGCCTCCACTCCCTTGCTCGACTTCCTCCAGCGCGTCCAGGAGGCCGCCCTCGCCGCCTTCGGGCCCCGCAACTTCGACCCCAAGCTCTACATGGACCTCTCCCTCAAGTCCGACCTCGAGGCCGTCGAGCGGGCCTTCGCCGGCCTCCCCAGGTCGCCCAACGGCTCGGTCCCGGCCGGCGACCTGGAGAGGTTCGTAGCCGCTCATTTGGGGGCCGCGGGGAGCGATCTGGTGTCCGCGCAGCCGGCGGATTTCGTGGCCGAGCCGGAGGGGTTCCTGCCCCGGGTGAGGAACCCGGCGGTGAGGGCGTGGGCGCTCGAGGTGCACGCGCTGTGGAGGAACCTGAGCAGGCGGGTGGGCGATGCAGTGCGGGAGAGGCCGGATTGGCACACCTTGATCCCCCTCCCGAGGCCGCTCATCATCCCCGGTTCCCGGTTCAGGGAGGTGTATTACTGGGACTCTTACTGGATCGTCAGGTTACAGCTCTTTTCCCATACGTATTCCATGCCCCCCCTTCTTATCCGTATCTAGCTACTGGACTATGTGGTACACAGCATCGTCGTTGTTCACACATCACAAGTGGATCGGCGGATTTCTCGTAGTTAGTGCTCCCCCCTCGTTCTTCGAGGATTAGAAAGATCCGTTTTCGAGTACTTGGACCGACAGCCATCGTACTATATTATGTGCCCGATAACGATTTTTTATCAGCCGTGGCAAAGAAAGGAAAGCCGGGGGACTGCAAATCCTTTTTCCCCGGTTCAAATCCGGGTGTCGCCTGACCCAAGAAAAAACTCGAAATCTCATACAATGGGCTCCTTTTCCCCGGATTTTATTCTTAGCAAATCCTTGTTTTTTCGCTCTTCGATTTTCGCATTCTGGTTTTGCTGATGAACTTGCAAGTTACAGTCTCCTTTAGCAGAGTAATTCTTTCGGCTTTGGTAATGGGTACTATAGCGAGGCATGGATTAGTAATCAGTATTGTCCGTTGCCGAATTTCACATAAGTAGCCAGACACATGATTATCTTTGCTTATAACTTTGTTCTTTGTCGGGACTATTAGTCGGAAAGATTACAACGCATGAAGAAGCTAGCTTGCGCGAGTATCGAAATTTGATTTCGTAGGGGTAACGTTAGCGGACCATGTGCAGGGGCTTGTTAGCTTCTAAGATGTATGCAACGGCAAAGGCGATTGTCACCAATCTCATCTACCTCTTAGAAGAATATGGCCATGTCCTAAACGGTGCGAGGGTCTACTACACAAACCGGAGGTAAGTGCTTCTCACAGTTAGGTAAATATGAATTTATCCTCTTCGTTTGTGAAACGAGGTCTTTGTTTTACTTGGAAGTTGTTAATGTGGTTTCTTGTCCTCATACATGCCCTTCAATGGAACTCAGTTAGACTAGCCTACTGCCTCTGTGGATTACTTGCTAAAAACACGCCACCAATTCTACTGAAGTTCTTCAAGGCTAGGTTTTGTCTATTACATGCTCTACTTAGATCCATAAACTGAGTTTCTAAACTTTTGCGTCTCTTTTCTTTTTGTAAGTTTCTATGATCAGAATTTGCGATTGACTAATCTCATAGGGTGTATCATGCTGAATTTGACTTACATTCTGGGCTAACTTTTTGCAGCCAACCTCCCCTTTTGAGTGCAATGATTCGTGCCATCTATGAAAAGACACATGATAAGGAATTTGTCGCGAAGTCTCTCCCTGCTCTTCTGAAAGAGCATGAATTTTGGACATCAGGTATCACGGCATCCTTCATTTGGATGTTTTGATCAATATGCATTACCCCTATCACCATGGCCGTGCTTATTCCACAGGGTTTCATCAGATCACCGTCCGGGACCGTGAATGCAGTCATAATTTGAGTCGCTATTATGCAATGTGGGATAAACCCAGGCCCGAAACTTCGACAATCGTAAGTCCTCTCTGACTCAGCTTTCATAGTATACCAGCTAATCTAAACCTTATGAGTACACCTGTTCACTTCTCATCGGACAGGACAAGAAGCTTGCTTCAAACATATCAAGTACTTCCGAAAAGCAGAAGTTTTATAGGGAATTAGCCACAGGAGGTGAATCTGGATGGGACTTTAGTGTCAGATGGATGAGGTATTTTTGCATTAGCAATCTATCAGTCGTATTCCTTTTGTTTGTGTTCTCGAATAGTTCTGATTTATATAATTGATCCAAATTTTCAGTTGTTATTCCAAGAGTGGTACTTGTCTTATTGTTTGCTGAGCTTTAGTCAGGTTTTTAAATTCATGGACTCAATTTTGAACGGTTTGTGCCAAGTGTTAGATTTCCGTCCAACAAGTATGTTCTTGCTTCTATTTGCTAATTTGCTGTGAGACCGTTACATCCTGATGCCATAGGCCAGCTTCTGAAATTTTTTTTGCCGTGTTTAGCTCCTAAGCTTCTGCTTTCACGCACGCACAATATCCTTTTGCTTTGGAGATGGAAGAGTTCTGATTTTATACTACTTGTTCTTTTGTGCAAAAATCAATCGTCCTGATGTTTGCGGGTGAGATGTTTCGGTCGTCTCCTATTGAGAGGGTATGATATAGAAGAGCACGGAATCACTATTTGTGGCCTATAGTTTGGTCATTTATTGGTCAAATTTGACATGCTAGCGTAATTCCTTTTTGTTACTTTTTATAGCTAACAAAACACATAAACTCCAATTGTCTTTATTAGGAATCCTGAGGATATTACGACACTGGAAACAACATCAATTTTACCGGTTGATTTGAACATATACATACTAAGGGTATGCCAACGTATGCTCTTTAGTTGCCCTTGAAGTCCCTTATCAATCGACCGTCAACTTCCTATAAGGAGTTCTCTGGAATGTGTTGGTACAGATGGAACTTGACATATCCTTCTTCGGAAAAATTGTTGGGAATCATAACATTGCCACACAATTCTTAGAAGCTTCAAAGGCTAGAGAAAAGGCTGTCAGCACCGTTTTCTGGAATGAAAGGATGGGACAGTGGCTTGATTATTGGCTTGGCGATAGCAGTTCATGCGTGGTATTATGTGCGCAGTATATTATCTGTATATCTTGGTGCGATAGTATTGCGTTGCTTAACCTATTCCTGACAGGAAGGTCAACATTGGGCTGCTGCAAACCAGAACCAGAATGCGTTTGCTTCAAATTTCGTACCTCTGTGGATGGACGTGTTCAATTCGGGTTTGTTGCTTGCTATAAACATCCTAATGTAAAAATATTAGAAGTATGGCACTGAATTTCATTTTCAATTTGCATCTTATAAGCACTGGTCAGGGATGCTTAATTTGGGGAGAGAGTTATCAATTGTTGATATCATGTCATGTTGCATTGATTGATTAGTAATGAATAGCCGTTGGTACAAACGTGATGCAGATAAGAATTTGGTAGAGAAAGTCGTGAAGAGTTTACGGAGTTCAGGTCTGCTCCATGCTGCTGGGATTGCATGTTCATTGACAAATTCAGGCCAACAATGGTTAGTAGCCAATTCGACATTTTGAACTCTACTTGGTCAGTTTTCCGATACGTAGAGAAGGACAAAGATGTCATGTGAAGGTACTACTTATTTTCACCGTTTGGACTTGTATATGTGCAGGGATTTTCCAAACGGCTGGGCCCCTCTACAGCATATGATAGCTGAAGGCCTGGCTAGATCGGGGTCTAGCGAGGCAAGGTCTTTGGCGGAAGACATAATCATCAGGTGGATAAGGACTAACTACGTTACCTACAAGAAAACTGGCACAATGCATGAAAAATACGATGTGCAAAAATGCGGGGCATTTGGGGGCGGTGGAGAATATATACCTCAGGTACGGCTATGTCACTTCATTAGGCCTAATGATGAAGTATTTTGAAGATGAGGGTTGAGGATGCTTGTCTGTTCGTTTTTGGGATTATTGGCAGCGGCCATAGTTTATGCAGCTGCTCGAAAATGGGCAATATGTGCTTTAATCTGATCATAACTTTGCCTTCGTGTTGTGCAACAGACTGGTTTTGGCTGGTCAAACGGCGTCGTGTTGGCCTTCTTGGAGGAGTTTGGATGGCCTGAAGACCGGAAGATTGATTGCGAGGGAGACTAAACCTGTTAAATGTGGAATAAGGACGTTGACCGTGTGAAGTGTTTCTTCCCCAGAATGGCCAACAGCAATAAACGAAGAGTCTTCATTGAGTGGAAACTCCTTTCTGATATCTTCCTGTTCATTACGTTAACCAATTTGATCCTCCCCGGAGGTCGTATTGTATCGTTCGCAGTTGAAATAATATAGTTCAACCCTCGAAATTCATACCGGTAGTTGGAGTCTGTGATATCTTGTAAGACCATTGCCAACTATTTTAAATTATAATATTTAGATACTTTGAAAGAGTCTAATCACGCGAGGGGTTCGATGATGTGCTAGTGTACACTAGGGGTGTGAAACCGGACCGGCCCACCCGAAAAACACGTCCGGGTACCGGTTCTTGTTAGAACCGGTTCGGGAACTGGTTCCATTTTTTTGGAACCGGTTAGAACCGATCCGGTTTCCGGTTCCAAGTAAAAACCGACCCGAACCGGTTTTAGAACCGGTTTTAAGATAATGTTAAAAAAAAAAAAAACTCTAAGTAACGATCACGTTACCCTACCTCTCTTCTCTCTTCGCCGCTCCTCTGTCTCAGTTCTCTCTTCGCCGCAAGAGCGCAATTACGCAACCGCAAGAACGCAATTACGCAACCGAGGAGGCTCCACGTTCGCTTCGCCCGTCCGGCTCTCACCGATCCGTGAGTCCTCCGTTCCCTCAGTCTCTCTTCTTCGTCTTTGTTGCAAGGTCAGATGGTTTCGAGCTCGAGCTCCGAATCTGTTCTCGTGTTGGGGAAATGTTCGAGTTCGAGTTTGAGGTTTTGCGTTCGAGTTTTAGGGGTTTTTTGCCGCGGGCTTGGGTTGGTGTAGAAGATTCTTTGAATTTTGATGATCAGTGGAGGACTTGAGGGAAGAGACGTCATCTGATCTTGCGGAATCCGGCTTGTCTGAGTTTTTTTTTTTTTTTAAAACTTTTATCTCTTGCTTCTTGGACTTCTGAGTTTGTTTAATGGCAAAATATAAGCATTGGTTGCATACCTGATTTCAGTGGTTGACCTCAACTCGAAACTCTATATGTTGCAAGCTCCTTAAACATCAGTGATTTTTGCGTATTTGAGTTGAGAACCCCCTTGAGTTAACCTGATATGTTCATAAGGAGTCCCCCTTTGTTCATTCTTGTCGTTCTTTTGGTTTAGATGAAGAACTTAAATTCACTAAAAACAAATTTCGCCCTTTTATCCAATATAGAAAAGAAAACAACTCGTGCTTGTTAGCATGCAGATCGCTAACATTTTATGCGTGCTGCTTGTAATTTATGAATAGGAAGGGAATAATTCGTCACATATTAGTTTAGCATCGTAGACAAGATCAGTGATATTTGATCCTAGAATATAGTTTAGCATCGTAGACAAGAAAAAGTTTGCAATCGCACCAATAAGTCAAAGAATGGTCCATCTGTGTAGTTATATGTTGCAAGCGCCTGCTGGATTTACTACCAAATCTTGCGTAGTTGGATGGTTCAGCTTCAGCGAGTCTTTATCAGTTCGTACTCAAGATTATGAGTTCAATCATGCAGAAGCAACTCAGCAATGGAACCACAATGTCTAATGGCCTCCTAGTTCTAGGATAGTCCTTGGACCAAAAAATTGGCAAGTTCTTTAAGTCATGGTCAATCACTTTGGAAACGATTGAAGTCTTCTTTTCATACCATTCAAGTGTCCGATGGTATGAAAAGAATCCTGTCATTGTTGTATAATTTGTTTTCAGTAGAATCCTGACATTGTTGTATAATTTGATTTTAGTTGATGGATCAAGACTATTGACACCTAAATTTTGGAGACCCAATTAGTTATTCATTGCATAAAAATTAGGGATCGGTCCCGGTCCCTAGAAAAATTTAATTAGTTAAATTGCATATAGATATTAAGAGCATTTCATTAATAGTTAATTAGGCCCATATAGTTTGCACATTTATCGAACATACGGCAGCGAATGGTTCTGAGCTTAATTCAATCAAGCCCATAACCAAAAGTCACATGTTTTGCATGCGTGATCTTCGGTCGCAAGAGATCTTCTGTATATATATTTTTTTCTGCCACATGGAGGACCAAGAAGGAAGGGAGATTCATTATATTTGGCCGTATTGTCAGAAGATAGGAGGGAGTAATATCCTATCCGCACATATCTTTAATCCATGGACAGTAATTGACAATATATCTTTTGGAAATTCCATTAAAAAATCTTGGGCGTCACGACAAGGCAAGGGGGAACATTCTTCACCGAGGCGAGGGCAATAAATAAAGGAAAGAGGAAGTGTATCAGCAGATTTTGTTTCTTGGTATCTTTGTGCAAAGGAAAAAAAAATATGAATGATACAAGAAGAGGAATACGGAATCGGTCAACGTGGGGATATATATTTGGAATTACGTTCTGGCGTCATGGGCACAAGCAAAAAGGGAAGAAGCCAAACGTAATATGTTTTAAATATTCTTGAGTGGGTCTCTTTCTAAAAAGGCCTAGACATTCTCACTTATAAAAGGATCACGTACAGACAAGAACAGGAGGTCGAGAGAGGTATGGAAGGAGGGGCTTCGTAAAAAAAAAGGGGGTGAGCAGAGAGAGTGAATTGGAGAGAAAAAAAATACGCTTCACAGTACGTCCAAAAAAGGTGAGAAAAAGTTAGGAGTGAGGGCTTGATCAAAAAAGAAAGGAGAGAACAGACGTGAGGAAAAGAAAGAGGGTTTTCGATTTCCACTAGCCGAGAACCTTGCATCGGCGTCTGTTGATCCATCCGCCGCTCGGTCCGTTGCCATCGTCGCCAGGAAACAAGTTCGAGCTACTGCCGCGGTCCTTCGCTTCAGCCATTCACGTTTTTTTTAAGGCTGGGGATCGAGCATTGTCACCTCACCCGTGGATCAAGCAATCCTTGGTGTTTCAATTTGACAACTTTGTCAAATTAGGTAATGAATGTTCTTAACTTGTGATATTTGTCGTGCATGATTTTTAGGTAATGATTACTGTTTGGATTACGAGAGAAACTTGCATAAAAAAATCCTGGTTTTCCTTCTTGTTCTTGTTCAATCTGAAAATTCTCATTACATTGGTGATCACGTTAAAATTGCAATTTGACTTGCAAGATGTTAATTGGATCATTGTAATTTCGAATCCGTTGATGGTATGGGCTTGTGGATGACTATTGTTTGAATCTTTATTCAAAATTAGTGGATGGACATTTCCCTTGTGGATGAGTTGATCTTATTTGAATTTTTGGTGATTGCAAGAGCTTCATCCGAATTTGCTGATGAGTATAGTGCACACGAAGATATCTCTAAAGGATTAAGCATTGTTTTTTTTATAAAAAAAAACCTTTAAAAAAAAACGAAGGTGCCTCGCTTAATTTAAAACTGCGATTTAACTGAATATTCTTTGGAAATCTTGGATGTGTATTACTTGTCAAATTTGGATAGAATTTGAAAATTTCAAAATCTTTTGAATATATCCAAAATATTTAAGATAGCAAAATCTTTTCAAGATGTGATCGGTTAATAAAATCTCCTAATCCGCAACCGCACACATGGGAATAAGTCTATCTATCAGGCTTTAGATAGAGTTATTTCCATAGCGGGTATTTCGAATTTTTAGGGTCGATCTGTCAGGCTTTATATCGAAACTTAGTTCGAAAGATTTAGCGGTTATAATCTTTCTACTAAAAGATTTGCGATTTAAATTTAAATTCGAAAATACATCAAAAATACAAAAAAAAAATCATAAAAAAGAAAATCAAAAAAAAATTGCACCTTTGAACTCTAAGTTAGAATTCATCAAAATTGCCGAATTGAGCATTTTTCTTGAGATTGGTACCGAAAGGACGTAAGGATAATCTAGCATAACCAAGTCCCCGGATTTATAATCTCTGGTTCGTAGAAATAAAATAGTACTCCCGCTATTTTATTTAGGTTTCTAATCAACCTACCTTAAATGATTAGTGGCGGCTCCCATTGAAAATATTTGCATGCTCATAATTGGACCTAAGTTGCGAACTGGTAGAGTTTGGGAGAATTCGAGCTGGGTTAGTTAATTTAATTGATCTAGTAATCCATTAGCCTAAGATCGGAAAACCTGATTTTTAGGTTGCAACAGCTTGGCGACTATCGGAAAACCTGATTTTTAGGTTGCAACAGCTTGGCGACTCCGCTGGAGACAACTTGAATTTTTTGAAAATTTAAGGAGGACTTAGGCCAGAAAATTTTCATGGAAAAATCACTCGATTTGGCAAAATTTGATTGAATTCTCATTCTTAGGTGTTAAATGGTTTTGCAGAATGGGAGTTATAAGGGGAGTAGTGATTGGCTAACCCTTTGTTTTGCAGGCTTGGTGGATTGGAATTGTGATTTAATTTTTGTACTATTGAAGCGGTGTTTGCATGTAATTGTTATGCATGATTTACCGTATTTGCACTACACCACACACAACCTGTGACCGGACCTGGGTCACACCCATAGTTTTAAGATGGTATTTAGATGGTTCCTTAACCTTGGCGGTAAGGCTTCGCTAAAGGTTATCCCATCTGGATCCCGAAAATTTTTCAAAAAATGGCTCATGGGCCGTCCTCATGCACGTGAGGCTACGATGCATGGGGGTTGCCCTTGTCGACCGAACCAAGCCGAAGTGATTGGACCCGATTAGTCATGACTATTGTATGCGAGGCTGCGACTAGTCATGGTGATTGTGCGCGAGGCTGCGACATGTCGTTCCGTTCATCATTTCACTTTGCAAAAGCCTTTAGGGTAGATTGATTAAGATTTAAACTCACGATTCATGTGCATGTCTCTGTGATTAACACTTTCTCCCCAAAGGCGGTAATTTCTTGAGCTTTATCTTTGGTTTTCTTCATCTTATTTTGGGTCGGTCCTTGATCTAGGTTGAGTCATTTGGCACGTGGTCTATATACGAATGGGTCGCCTCGATATCCGTTTCGTGCCTACTCCGAAGCTAGAGCTCAAGAAGTTATGGGGCCAGTTGAAGCTAGATGGTCAGCAGTACGTTCTCAAACGCATTGGATTCATGCTGCCAACCCTAGACATAAATGTTCAGAGCGGGGTCATGCAGGCACTTGCTCATTTTTGGTGCCCCGAGACGACCACATTTGTGTTGGGAGGTAAGTTTGAGCTCACACCGACTCTGGAAGAATACAGTATTGCCATTGGGAAATCGATTGAGTTGGATATAGTTGAACCACCCATTCGGGTAGATCCTGTGGTAGCGCTTGCTGAATTTTTGAGTTTGACAAAAAAAGAAATTGAAAAAGTGCTAAAGGGTAATTGTCAAGCATGCCTAATATCTTTTCTTATTGAATGTTTCGAAAATAGCTCCATCCGCATGAGATCTAGGATTTTTATCTTAGCTTTTTTTGGATTCATCATTTTTCCATTCCGTCAAAATGCTATTGATCCTGTAATAGCTTGGACGGTAAAACAAATATGTGGTGGAGTTAGTTTCATAAACACAATTCTGGCAGAGACTTTCATATCTCTGACACGATTCAAGAAAGAAAAATATAGAACTTTTCGAGCCCCGATCGAGCTTTTACAAATCTGGCTTTTCTCACACCTTTCTCAATTTGAGGACAATATGACTGTATTTGAAATGGGCATGACTGATAACCCTATTTTAAGGTTCAAACAAATACAAGATCAAACTAAGAGTTTGCACTATACACAATGGGTCCATCTGTTTAAGGATCCAAACTCTAAGATTTTCCTTTGGCAAGCTGTGTGGTTTCGGGAGGTTGAGGCTCGACTATGCCATGGCGATCAGAAGCCCGTACCTTTGATGGGCATTTATGGGGCAACCAGCTATCAGCCTCTTCGAGTTACACGACAATTCCGAGTTTTGCAGGATGTCCCACCTCCACTCGGGCCCAATGAATTTCAAGTCCAATTCGAGAAAGGCGAGTGCTACAGAGCCGAGCTTAGGCATCATTTTGAGGCTTGGCAGAAATGTTCCACTCAGAAGTTGATTTGGCCCGCAGATGAGCCCACCGGAAGGATGAAGAGTCACTTTGCCATGGCCCGGTATATTCAGTATCATACCATCCTTGCTAAGATACTCCCGAAAATCCCGGTTGTGACAGCGCGGCATACCCGTCAGACCCAAATCAAAATCAGCGAAGAAAAGGCGATGAAGGCCCAGGAAAAAGCAGATGTTTTGGCTGAAGAGAATGCACGATTACGGCGTGCCTTGAAGGCCCATTCGTCTATAGATCACGTGGCCTCTAAAAAAAGGAAGACCATTTGATTTCATGTTTGGTTTAGGGAGTTTTTCTTTTTTTTTAGGGAGGAAATGTTAGCTTACATTTGCACTTCATACTATTGACGTTTTCTGGTAATAGATGTTGTTGTTTCTGGGCGATCTTTCTAAGAATTCCTTTGAGACATTTTCCATTTTGGACAATTCAATGAGAAACATTAAGCTATAATTTGTAAATTTTGGAATTAGTCTAGGTTTATTTTATTTTATTTTATTAATAAAGCAATCTGGAATTTCGAAATTTACTGGACGAATCAGTCTTTCCAAAGAAATTTCGTCTTGGGGGTCTAGAGGATGTCATGGACCGACTCGCTATTCTTACTTGTTGTATTTATTCGATCGTTACTTTTTGTAGGTAATTTGCCACGGATCCCCCTCATCCTTATAATACTCGATCAGTGACCAAAAGAAGGATGGCCAATCAAGCCGAGATTGCAGCCATGATCGACGAAAAGCTGAAAGAACACATGAATACAATGAATGAGCAGATCGCGGCTACCATGTCCAAAATGATGAGTGATCTCATGGCCAAGCAGCAACCGATCAATGCTGCCTCTCAATCGAAGATTCCGCCTCCAACCCGTCAAGGCCTCCGCCTTGACAAAACTCCCGCACTAAACACTGATCCAACCTTTCAACTGGATGATGTCATTTTGACTGACACTAGTGTATCTCCGGCGGCCCATCTTCTTCATCCACCCCCCAATGACGAGAATGTCAAGTTGCTGGCTAAGCTCGACCAGAGGTTACGTGAAGTGGAGGGAACTCAAAGTGTTCCGCCTGTTGATTTGTCTATTTTTGCCCGGGTCCAAGTGCCCAATAAATTCAAGATGCCAGCTTTCGAGAAGTATGACGGCACCTCAAACCCAATTCAGCACATCGAGATGTACCAGGGGCTTATGAATAGATATGTTTCTAACGGACCTCTAATGATCCAAACCTTTCAAGCAAGCTTGAAGGATGCTGCAATGAGGTGGTATACCAACCACCAGATCAACCGGAAGGACTCGTGGGAAGAGGTGGCAAACCTTTTCATCAAGCACTTTAAGTTCAATCTCGATGTCACCATTACAAGGGAAGACCTGGAGAGAGCTGAGCAGAAAAAGGGGGAGACTCTAAAGGAGTATGCCACTCGCTGGAGGAACATGGCAGGACAAATCATGCCTGAACCCTCAGAGCGTGACTTAATGAAATTGTTCGTGTCCACTCTACCGCAGCCGGTTCGTTCACGAATGTTAGTAACTGCCGTCCAATCTTTTAGCCAGCTGATAGCCATGGGTGAGGAGATTGAGTCCGGGCTCAAGAAAGGATGGTACAGTGAGTCGGGTTCATCAGGCAAGAGATTTACTAGTAAGAAGGATAAAAGAGCATGTCCCCGAAGTCAACATGACTTATGTACAGAAGACGCCAGCTCAGGCCCCGAAGTTACAATTTACCACCCAGTAGCCAACCTCTTATGGGCGGCAAGGCCAACAGGACCCACGCCAGCAGCGCAAACCTCGCCAGTTTACTCCACTTCCTGGGACGTTATCTCAGGTACTGGCGGTGCTAAGGAAGAAGAACTTGCTAAATTCAGAGCCACAAAGATCTAACGCTGCCGGCTTTGCAAGGTATGATCCATCGAAGAAATGCGATTACCATAGAGGTGAGGTAGGACATTCGACAGATGATTGCCAAGTGCTCAAACATCGAGTACAGGATCTACTCGAGACTAGAGCGTTTGCACTACAGCCAGCCGGTAAGCCCAATGTGCAGAACAATCCACTCCCTGATCATCCGAGCAGTGCAAATGTTGTCCTTGGCCCGGGGGTCAAGCAGGTTCAAGACTTCAGGGTCCCTTTCGAGGATATGTTCGATGCTTTAGTCCGAGCTGGTTATGTTTCCACTGATGAAGTGGTGTCGTTCGGTGAAATAGAGAAGAAGGTGGATGAGTTGGTAAGAGAGGGAATGATTGGGACAGCGGATGAATTCGGGTTAGTGGCCACTATATCTCAGGTCATCATTGACTGGAATGAAGAACTCGCAATGTTGACCGATGAGCAAGTTAAGTTGGATCCTGAGCTAACTGACATGCCCCCTCTCGAGGACGCCTCTGACGATGACGTCGGGATCGTTATACCCGATGCTTCTGAAGTATTGGTGCTGGCATCACCTCAGCCCTACGCTTATGAAAGTGACAAGATGGTTCCATGGTCATACAATGTTGATCTGATAACAAGGTCAGGGCGAACTTATGCTGATAATCAACCGGCCAAGCCAGTGGCCGAGAAAGAAGCGAAGGAATTCCTAGCTGTGATTAAGGCTAGTGAATATAGCATGGTTGATCAGCTGAGAAAGTTACCTGCACAAGTCTCGTTGTTGGAACTTCTCCAGACATCAGATAACCATCGGGGTGCTTTGATGAAGGTTTTGAGTGAGATTCATGTGCCCGAGACTATTGAAGAAGATAAGCTAGAGGGGTTTGTCGGGACGATCCTCCTCAAGGATCAAGTAGCATTTTCTGATGAGGAAATCCTAGTTGAGGGACGTGGTCATAATAAGGCACTTCATATATCAGTGAAGTACAAGGAGACTCACATGGCTAGGGTGCTTGTTGATAACGGGTCAGCTTTGAATTTATGCCCGTTGGCTACTTTAAAAAGGCTGGGCATTGATCCATCTACCATGCAAGCAGCCAAGACTTCTGTTCGAGCCTTTGATGGAGTAAAGAAGGATGTGATAGGCCAGATTAACTTAGAGCTGCAAATCGAACCTTCGGTGTTCGATATTCTTTTTCAAGTGCTGGATATCCCTTCTGCTTTCAATTTCTTGTTGGGACGGCCATGGATCCACAATGCAGGCACAGTGCCCTCCAGTTTGCATCAGAAGATCAAGTTTGTGGCTGAGGCAAAGTTGGTTACAGTTTATGGAGAGGAAGATCACCGAATCTTCAATGCGACATCGGTCCCATACATAGAGCCCGATCATGTTGAGGAGGATAGCTATCATTCATTTGAGATAGTTCAAGTTGTTCAGGCTTCTTCTGATATGCCGTTGCCCGTTCCTGAGGTTTCTAATGCAGCTATCATGGTGGCCAATGTCATGGTCGGTAATGGTTTTGAGCCAGGTAAGGGTCTTGGGAAGGAAGGCCAAGGCATTCATGCCCCGATTGAGACAAATGGACAATCCCACACGGCTGGTTTGGAATATCACGGGCCGAGAAGTCGCGGACGAGGCCACGGTCGTTGCAGAGGCCGAAGAGGAGCAGGTCAAAGTCCTTTACCACCTCCCATTGACCACACCTTTTGCTCGGCTGTAGTAGTGGGGGGATATGAGCATTTAAAGCCGAGCTCGACTAAGGATGATCTCGGGCTTATCTTTCCTAAGTCGCCACAAACCCTAACTGACTCGCCTAAGAAGCACGGTAAAGCGATTTTAGTCAGTTTGTCTGATGATTCTGAGGATGACCAGCCACCCTGTATCTTTAAGAAGCCGGAGTCGAGGGTGGTGGACTTCGACTTTAATGATGGTATACCCTATCTTACCGGTTGGTTTGCTGAGACCTCCATTGGTGCAATCACTGAAGGACCACTTGAAGGGATGGGCGCTGGCCCTCAAGAGTAATTATTTCCAGTTTTTGTATCTCCCTTGCGTGGGAATCTTTATTGCTTTTTTTCGATTTTCATTCCAATAAGATGTAATTCATTGATTCGATATCAATAAAATTACAGAGGTTTTTATCATTTTGAATCTTGTTGAAGTGCCCCAAACCAACCCGATGACGATAATCAACGATTGGAAAAATTTGTCATCTACGGTAAGAACTGAGGGTTGGGCTTCTCAAGAATTCTCGTCTCGAGGTCTTCGAAAGCAAAATGAATTTCAAAAAAAAGCAATGATCAATTTTCGCAAATTGCATGTAGTTAAGCCCTATCTTGTCTTTTTGATCCCTTTCTTTCATGTTTCAGGACTAATCTCGAGGCATGCGAAGGGACGGGAATCATGGATCCTCATATATGTGATGCAAGTCAATCCGATGACTCAGACGATTCTAATCCGAATGATGAAGAGATACGACGGAACTCGGAAATCCATGAGAAATCTAAGCCTCTGACTGTTGAAAAAACCGTAGTAATCAATCTTGGCGATATGGAGAATCCTAGAGAGGTGAAGATTGGAGCATGTCTCCCTGAAGATGTGACCAAACGCTTGACCCAATTGTTGAAGGATTATCAAGACATCTTTGCCTGGTCTTATGCTGACATGCCGGGTCTCGATCGATCAATTGTCGAACATTGTCTGCCGACTGATCCTTCGGTTGAGCCCGTGAAGCAAAGGCCGCGAAGGGCAAAGCCAGAACTGGCAAAGAAGATCAAGGAAGAGGTCATGAAGCTTCTTGACGTGGGATTTATTGAGACTACCCAATACTCAGAATGGGTTGCCAATATAGTCCCAGTGTTGAAGAAAGACGGTCGGGTTCGAGTGTGTGTTGACTACCGAGATCTGAACAAAGCTAGTCCTAAGGATGATTTTCCACTCCCACACATTGATGTGCTTGTGGACAGCACAGCCGGGTTCGAATTATTTTCCTTCATGGATGGTTTCTCAGGTTATAATCAGATCTTGATGAACGAGGATGATAAGTTGAAAATAGCATTTACCACTCCATGGGGGACATTTCATTACAAGGTGAGGCCCTTTGGTCTCAAAAATGCTGGGGCAACTTACCAGTGGGCAATGGTCACGTTATTCCATGACATGATGCATAATGATATTGAGGTCTATGTTGACGATATGATTGCAAAAACTCGGCATGGAGAAGATCACATAAAAACCTTGACGAAATTATTCGACAGGCTTCGCAAGTTCAAATTACACCTCAATCCGGCAAAATGCGTGTTTGGGGCAGCCTCTGGCAAACTACTCGGCTTCATTGTCAGTAACAAAGGGATTGAGATTGACCCGTCAAAAGTGAAGGCCATTTGTGAAATAAAATCTCCCTCTTCGGTGAAGGAAGTTCGTAGCTTAATGGGTAGACTAAACTATA